ATAAGCCTGCAAAATCTTACTCTAAGAGGGAATAATTGATTCTTTAAAAAGTCATGGTTACTACGAATGTTCTTTATAGCGAATGTTCTTTATAGCGAATGTTCTTTAAACCCACTTCCATGACTTCCAAGTTACACAGAGAGTGGAGCCACCATAATTAATGGTATTAATGCAAGATCTAATCACATTACTACCGCTATCAGCCCACCACAACTCCAGCCTCCTGGAAGAGTTTGGGAGAGCCTATAGCAGATGGGCTGGCAAGAGACCTTACAGTGGTGAAAGTCACTGAGCCTGATGGCCCAAGCTCAGTCCTCAGACCCAACATGATGGAAGGAAAGAAAAACCCCCAAAGGTTGTCTGTCCTCTGACCACCAAATGCATACCTAGCCAAGCGTAAGGATACAGACACACACACATGCACAAATGCACATACAGAGAGAAGTAATTTTAATTGTTTTTTAAATATTATAAACATAATTAATTTGGAAATAGTTTTTAGTTAAGTTACAAAGAAAGGAAGCTTCATGGCCATGGCCTAAATATCATACAAAACAAATAACCTTGTTCTTGGAAGCACTGACAGACAAACTGATGCAAGTGGGAAAAACAGCAGTGCTCCAAAAACAATTCCTTGGATAATAAATAACCTGTGAAGACCTTGTGTCTGCTGGGACAAGGCAGTCACGGAAACAAAATACCACATTCTCTCTAGCACTCAATCTTGATCAGTAATGATGGCTCAAACAATTCTTTTTTCGTGGATTAACTACATGGTCAAAGGGTATACTGGTTTTGATTTTCTAAACTAAGGCTTTATGTAGTTGACTTCATTTATTTTGATAAGTCTACTGCATTTTCATCAGATCCAGAGAGATGGCAGAGGACCTGAGTTCTGTTTCCAGCACCCATGTCAGGCAACTCACAAGACCCTGTAATTCAGTTCTCTGGTACATCAGGCCAAGAGCATAAGGAAACACAATAAAGGACAATAAAAATTAATCTTAAAAACAAACATGAGGAAAAACAATTCCCATCTCTACACTGATAGAGGTTTTCATTTTGGCCTCTAGACTGAAGCAGTAGGCTACTCCAGGGGGTACAAATTTGAGAATTAGAATAGGTTTTTAAGACAAGAGGTAAAATGGTACCTTAAACCCTATACTGTTCTAAAGTCTATCAAGGATTTATTCACAATTCATCTTCCTTTAGGCCTCTAAGGAAACACCCTAGCACTGTACCTGCTGCCATACCCTGGTCTAACACTAAACCTAAGCATTTCGCCGACGCCCTCCCAAAGGTTTTCTACAGAAAGCCAACAATTTCAGAAAGTAGGAGCTTGAGAAATGGCTCAGTCAATAAAGAGCTTTGCCACTCAAACATGATGACTGAGTTTGGACCACCAGAAGCCACATGGGAAACCAGGTGTAAGAGTCCACACTGTTATCTCAGAGCTGGGAAGGTGGGCATACTGAGCACTGCACTCACTGCCTAGCCAGCCGGACCAAAAGCTCCAAGTTCAGTGGGCAGTCAGGCACAATGGCACACGCCTTTAATTCCAGCACCAAGAGTCAGAGGCAGGCAGATCTCTGTGAGTTCAAGGCCAGCCCTGGTCTACATAGTGAGTCCCAGGACAGCCAGAGTGAGGTCCTGTCTCAAAAAAAAATCAAACTAAGGTAAAGAGTGACCAAGGAAGACACTTGATGTCAACTTCTCATCTCCACACGCACATATACAGGAACATATACATACACATGAAGCACACACACAAAATCTCAGAAAGAAAAACATCCATACCTCTAATTCAATGAAGTCACATAAATAAAGTTTTCATGACCAATAATTACAGCTGGGATCTTAGTATTAAGATTTATCTAATAGTCACCTATTCATTTATTACAGAGAATACAAAAGGATAAATAAGTCTTTAGTGTGTAATGATAGAACAGACAATATATGATGAATTCCAGGTTTCATGTGAAAATTTTATAGTAATGAGGAAATACAGGATATCAGCAAATATATTATAGTATAACATAAATTCATACACCTAAAAAACTATAGGCTAACTATATAGTTATTTATTCTTCCTTCCAACAGTCCCCCTATTAATTAAAGTAAAAAATAGATTTCAAAATACAAAACAAGAGAAATGAGAGGATGAGAAGAAAACAGCAATTAGTAAATGAGAAACCTCAACAAATTTCTGGAAGACAGAACGCAAATGGAAACTGGTACTTGACCGTAAGGAGCACTCGTTGCCTCTCACAGTATTGGAGAACATGACTGATGGATGGGAAAGAAGGTTTCATCCTTCCAGAGAGCCAAAAGAATGAGACACGGAGCTATGAACAGGGAGATTAACATACGCCTTCCTGCCTGACGATAGCCGAGTGTGTACTCCCAGAAAAAAAGAAAAAATACAGGAAGTTCACATTTAAAAAATGATAAAAACTGTTTTGATGATAGCTAAACTTCAAAATAGGACACTCAGGGGGGTCCCCCACATGAAGAGCTGGCCCACCGTGTACTTGCACACTCAGGGGGTTCCCCCACACGAAGAGCTGGCCCACCGTACACTTGCACACTCAGGGATCCACCACACGAAGAGCTGGCCCACGGTCACGGTGCACTTGCACACTCAGGGGTCTCCCACAAGAAAAGCTGGCCCACGGTGCACTTGCACACTCAGGGGTGTCCCTCACGAAGAGCTGGTCCACCATGCACTTGCACAGTTTATGAGTCCTGCTCAACTATCCAGAAGCTCTAACAGTATGTTCTCTACTATCTTAAATATACATGATGGTTTGGTTTGAGGAAAGACTATAGAACAGCAGGTGTCAACACGTGGGTCATGATCCCTTTGGAGTTGCCTGAGACCATTGGAAAACACAGATATTTACCTAACAATTCTTAACAGTAGCAAAATTACGGTCATGAAGTGGCAATGATATAATGTTATAGTTGGGGTCACCACAACATGAGGAACTTTATTAAAGGATCACAGCATTAGGAAGGCTGAGAACCACTGCTGTAGAATAACAGGAAGAGAAAGGATGATATAAAATATCCCCCTGTGGATACTAAAATAATGACAGTAAAAAGAACACATTTTAAAAATATTTTTTACCTGTTTCTTAAGAAATAATTCAGTAATATAAAGAATCTTTAATATACAGGCCTATAAAATAAGGTAAAATCTAAGATAATAAATGCAGAAGTAGACCCAAAGAGTCATTGTGCAATATATCAACAATACTCTGAAGACAATTATAGACAACAAATTATTAATCTTGAAAATGCAAAGGAAAAAACAGAAGACAAGTGAAAGCAGTGCGGGAACAAAGAAAGAGGCCAGGACTCGTAGTCTTATCCCACTAAGTGTGAAGCCAGAAGACATTATCTGTGATTCATGGGAATCCAGATAAACGAAGCCCTCATCACTACTGCAGAGATCATCCTAGCTGATAACAAGGCTGAGTCACACACTTACCAAGAAGTTTTGGAACTGTTCACTTAATTATTTGATAGAGTGTTTAAAGTGACCGTGGGGGAGGGGCTGAGAAAGATGGGGGGTCTACAGATGTTGACGGTGGGGAAGTCTTTCTCTTTGCCTCATTGGCCTGGTACTTGCCAGGAAAGCTAAGCTGACCAACCACAAACCCCAGGGATCTACTGCTCTCTGTCTCCAACACTGGGATTGTAAGCATGTGTCCCTGCCCGACGTTTTTCAGTGTGGATTCTGGGGCTCAAACTCAGGTCCTTGAAAGCACTTCATGGCCTGCACTATCTCCCTCATCCATCCATCTGATCTCTAATACCCACATTTTTCATTCCTCTTTTTTTAAGAACAGATAGATTTGAATACCCTGTTCACAAGAATAGGTTTAAGAGAGAAAAGGGCGGGTGCAATTACTGACACTAGCAAAGCAGAGCTATTATCATGTTCACAGTAGGCAAGAGCCTCAGTGCTGTGCTGGTGACAGAGAGGAGCTAATACAGCACAGACAGATGTTACAGACGCTGGCCTGAATCCCAGGGATGCACCTTGTGCACATCCAGACAACGTTGGAAACATACAGTATAGAAACTCAGGCCCCTCTCCACACATATGCAGTTTAGGCTGAATAACATATGTCCTTAATTTCAGAAAAGTAGTCAACATCTAAAACTGATTTTAAGAAAAGAAAATTATGCAAAATTTCTGATTTCCACCTTCTGAGGCAACAGAAGCAGTTTCCTCAGAGACAGGTCATCCTGAGGTGCCACACTTGCCTGCCTTCCTTGTTTATATTATTCAGTTTGCCCCATGAAGGCCATTTGCATTTCTAACTCTTGCTATAAAGGATATAGCATGTTGATACATGTTGCCCTTGCCCAGAATCTTAGAGAAAGGATTATGCCAACAGGTTTTGATAGCAATGGGAATATCAGTCATTCTTACCTAAAAAAAACTATTATTAAATATGTAATTTAAATAATGGTGCATCTTTTTTTATATTTTTATTTACTTTATTGGGATGGGGTGGGGTGCCACAGCACACACGTGAAAAGCAGAGGACAACCTGCAGGATTCAGTTCTCTCCTACCATGTGGATCCAGGAATTGAACTCAGGTGGTCAGGATTGATGGGAGGCACCTTTTCCACTGAGCCATCTTGCGGGCACAAAGCAATGAGCCTCCTTAAAGAGGGCTTATCTTAGCCCTCACTCCATAAAAATACACACACACACACACACACACACACACACACACACAAGCATTGTTGTGCTTGCCTCAAAATTAAAGGTTTCTATGTGGGCATATTCCACTGCAATAAAATCCCTGCCACTTGTCTCACTGTGAACACAACCAGGGCCGGATGGTAGATAACAAGACAGTAACTGCTAGTGGGCAGTATCAGAAATCACTCTGAACAGGCAGAAATTAAACCGAAAGCAGGGTTACCAAAAACTAAATCTGTGTCTCTATTTTGGACAAAACGGTCATCGCTTACTCACATTTTAACGTCTCCCCAGCGTACGGAATGTGCAGCTTGAAGCGGTCACAGTTGGGTCCAGGAGTCAATGACGTACAGCTTAAGAAATCCAGGGGAGAGAAAAGATTTTTAAGAACAAAATTGAAAAGCCCACATATTTATAACAATAAAGTAAACAAAAAGTAATTTTTCTACATAAAAGGCTAAAAGAAGAAAATGAAAGCCCTTACTGGTCGTGAAATCTAAGACATATATGAGCCTTAATCTGAGACAATTATGTATCTCACAATAAAACCTCCATGCTTTCTAACAACAAAACACCAAGTGCTTCAAGTACCTCTAGAAAAAAAGTCTATCTTGACTTTTAAAGCCATGTATATCATCCAGAACGGGTCTCTAGTCCTTGGTGCCAAGAACTGTAAATGCAGAGAAATTTTATGGTCATATTTTAAACATAGATTCTTAGCTTTCACTCTGTTCATACAAAAAGAGCCCACTTTTGGCCTTTTTCTAGCGGCAGATGGTTTTCTCTCTTTCTTCAAAGGTACGATGCTTTCTCTAGCTCTGGCACACCATACCACTCATCTGCAGGAAAGCAAAAAGCGTGGTACTTGATTTCAGATAAAATGCAAATGCAAAAGATGGGAATGAGTCAGCCAGCCGGGTCTCAACATTTGGGAGTTTTAGAACTCTAAGACTCCACGAGGTTTGACAATGGTCTCTGTTTCTCCAACGGGTTTGTTTTCTAAGGTATCTACAAATGAGAGTTTCATCTGCATGACATAAAGCCCTGATCTCTTAGCTGTGGTGCACGCCTTTAATCCCAGCACTGGGGAGGCAGAGGCAGGCAGATCTCTGTGAGTTGAGGCCAGCTCCAGGACAGACTCCAAAGCTACAAAGAAACCCTGTCTCGAAAAACAACAAAACAAAACAAAACAAAAGACTCATAGGAAGCTGATGGAGAGCTCTAGGTGGGCTCCAGCTCGGTTCAGCCATGTCCAACTTTCTCATTTTATTTCCCACATTGTTTGCTCTATGCTGTAGAGGCAGCAATCTTTTAAGAACACGGAGTCAGTTCAATAATAGGATTCAATAATAGGATTCTTCTGATTAAAATCCTCCTTTGTGCCTGGTAGAAAAGCCAACTCAACTGCCACCACTTGCAGGTCCCTGAACTACTGTCTCTTACTGAGGATCATCATCTTTTGCTCTTCTGGTCCCGTTTGCTGTGGCCCATCCGCACTGCCCAGATGTCCTCCTTAGGTGTACCAGCCTATTCTTGCTTTTGTGCCCTTGCACGAGCTGTCCCCTGCCTGTACTGCACGCCCTAGGACTCTACTTGGCCCTCCAAGCTACTTGAGTTTGGATTCCATCTCCTCTGAAGGTCCCCTTGATTTCCCAGTGTGGAGCAGCGCCTGCTTTATCACAGAACCCTGTATTTTTATTTTTTTTCTTCGTGTCCCTGGCTTATTTATTACCGTTTCGTCCTCACTGGAACTGAAATACCAGCAGACTGTAGACTTTGACCGTCTTTCTGCTTGGTGTTTCTAATGCGCAGAGCAATGCTCGGCAACCCTCCTCTAAATGAAATGAATGAGCTGGCACTGGACCACACAGCTGAAGAAAGCGTGCTTTCGAATGAAGACCTGTGCCGTAAACGCATCTTTCACACATTTCACTCACCTCCAGAAACTGGAAATGTGCTATTTTACAGTTTAGCACGGGAAAACCAAGAAAGGGACATCAATTCTACACATCTGAAAGTGAGAACTACAACTGGGAACTCTTTTTTTTTTACCTAAAATTACATTTTTATTGTGTGTGTAGGCATACACCGTCATGTGTGTGCACTCAGGTATGTCGTGGCCAGAGAACAACCTGTAGGAGTCGATGCTCTCCTCTACCATGTGAGCCTCAGGGACTGCACTCCGGTCAAGTTTGGCAGCTAGTAGCTTTACCCACTCCGTCACCTCGCCAGCCCTCAAGTGAGAATTCTTGCTAACATCAGAAAAGGTAGCTTTTTTCTACTACTACTTTTCTAATACTTTATTTTAGAAACATCTGCAGTTACCAATTTGATTTAAGAAAATGTTCAGCATAAGCTTCATGTACCCTCAGCCTTACAGTCTCATCTAACCACATGCCTCCTAGAATTATTCTGTATCTGCTTTCTAATTATGAATTATGGTTTGTTTTCTCAATCCAACTGGAGGGCTCTGGTGCCGTAACTGTTACAAAACGGAAAAAAAAAACACTGAACACAGTGCTAGGCATTTGACATAGATGGAATCTTCATGCATACTGATAACCACAACTCAAAAACTGTCACCGAAGCATACAGGCCTCGCGGGTTCTCAGAGGGGGCACTGAAATTAGAAATCGTGTCCAGGAAGGACACTGTGTGCAATAGGTGGGCATTCCCAGCATGTATGCATATAAGGATTGGCTGAATGAGCTAGGCATAGTGGTGCAGGCCTTTAATCTGAGTATTTGGGAGGCAAAGATAGGCAGATTTCTGTGAGTTGAAGCCAGAGTGTCTGACATAGACAGCATGGCCAGGGCTACAGAGAGACCCTATGTTAAACAATAAATGAAGGGAGAGAGGGAGAGAAAGAGAGAGGGAAGGGAGGGAGCTCTGCTGAATGGATGGACTAGCCTGTCAAGCCTGGAGCTTGTTCATGATAGGAACTGATGACTTGCTGGTACTGGGAGATGCTCTCATCCCATCTTGAAAAGAGCAATGTGTGATTATTGGAGAAGACCCTCCCTTAGTAGGGTTAAACACTGAACTCAGAATTTAAACTTTAAATAATTGCTTAAAATTTTTCTAACATTCACTGGGTATGCATTAAGAGGCAACCACTATTCTTAGTTCTGGAATTAAACTAGTTCCAGACACAGGAACCTTTTAATTTGGGCACAATTATCATTTCCATTTACAGAAGTGAGTGAACCCCCTGAATGATATGTAAATGACTTGCTAGAAGGTGAGAGACCTACAATCCAGAACCAAAGATGTCTGACTACAGAGCCCACTGTACAAATCACCACACTAAGCCATCTCAATTAAAATGATGACCACTAGAATCAGTGAAAAAATACAAAGTGGACACTTTTAACAAATGATATTCTATTAACAAAGTACCAGCAATGCAAAGCAAGTGCTGATAACCAAAAAGAGGTTTTGATCAGCAAGTAGAGGGAGGGGTCAGAGGAGATGAGAACCAATTATAATTTGTGTGTGTGTGTGTGTGTGTGTGTGTGTGTGTGTGTGTGTGTGTGTAAGGGCTGGCAAGACAGCTCAGGAGGTAAAGCACTTGTCACAAACCTGCCAGCCTGACCGAATATAGCAGGTATCTATCTCTTGAAGATTGTTCTGTGACTTCTACATGCACTGTGACATGCTCCACCCACACACATATACACATGTATGCACACATGCATACACACCCAAATGTAATTTTTCAGTTAGAAAATATACATGTGTAACAAGAGTACCAAAAAAATCCATTATTTTGTATGTTAACTAAAAATTAATAAAATATGCATTTCATTAATATACATTAATGACAATCACTTATAAATATATATAAAAACCATATTTGCACACATCAACCAATGACATAAAAGAGAATAAAGTACTTGACACTTGATTTTTGAGATCTGCAATGCTAGTACTCTTGATTCATTTAGCAGATTATTCATGAAAAGTTAAAAAAATGGTGAAAAGTAATTTTTATTGATTCCTCTTTAAAACTATTTACACTATTTAAAATCTATTCCTAGTTATTGAGATATGATTCAAATTATTAAGTTTTCTGTATAAACAGAAAATGGTCGATTTCACTGTACTTCATAGGATTTCAGTTGGCCAAACACTAAAGGAGATTAATCAAGTTCCATGCAGGCATCTCAGAACCTTTAGAACATCAACATTTTTAAGACAATGCAATATACAAGAAAACATGCTTTCTGGTTTAAGGCTAAACCTACTTAATTCAATACTGTCTAAAAAGGGTGAGTCTGGCCATTTCTGTTCTTTAAGGCATCTAAGAAGAAGAAAATAGATGAATTCAGGGTCCTTCCCTGAACGTGCGTCAGTTTCCTCTACCAGGGTATTCATTCACATTTGGCATTTCTCCTGCATAGCTTCCTGTTTTCGAGATAATGACGTTTGTGCTTCACCAACAACACTTAACATCCGCTGAGACGGAAGCCTTCAGCTTTGGCAACCTTAAGTAGCAGGTGACAGGGAATAAAATAGGCTCCGAGACCAGTAATCGCCTGGTAAATAGCTCAAGTCACACGCTGCAGTGAGTAACTGGTAGCTAATATTTGCCATGGTTTTAATTTTATAGAATGAAGTGTTTTTGTTTTTTTCAGGATTAAATCGAACATCAATAACTTTACTCTGACTAAATCAGCTTCAAAATGACCATAGCATCCAAACTGGCTGACATCTTATCTTAACATCTATCTAAATGATCTACAAAATTCAAAGGCATTCAAACCAATTCTAGGACTCAGTCCTTTAATGCAGTTACTGCACATACAGCCAACTAAATCAAACTGCACAAGGTGGAGTTTTCACCCCCCACAAAGGAAACACATGAATTAAAACTGGTAAGAAGGAAGTAGCCACATGATACTGTAGTACATCTCTTATACCGTTCTCTGGGAAATGGGACTATCCACTTAATAACAGGACTTCCTTGACACACCACATGTATATCTCTGTATCACTAAAACCTAAAAGGTAAATTTCTAGAACCTACTAGGAAATCATGCATTTAATTCCTAGAATAGAATTCCAAATAACCATTACCAAAATAAGTGACTCATCCTAGAAGGTTTTTTTCTAAACACCACAAAAATAAAATATTCAATGTGTTTGAATGTGTTTGCCAATTTGTGTGGCATCAACTGTTATTCCCAGTTTCCAAGTAATATCTCCATTTATAAATGATAAATTTCAACTCTACCTTAGAATATGGATATTGGTTGGTATTCCTCTGACAAAAGTCAGATTTAAAATGCAATGATTCTAGTAGAAATGATGGGCTCAAACACTACTTTTTTTGTTTTTTATGTTTGGTTTTTGTTTGGTT